ACATTTTTTCAAGGTCAAAAACTCCTCTGCATCAACCTTATGGACTTCTTCAACCATTACCTATTCGAAAACAACCATAGTCTTGTATTTCTATAGATTTTATTAAAGATCTTCTAGACTCAAGATTGTATGATCCTATATTTGTGATAATAGATCATTTTATCAAAATGGCACATTTTGTACGATGTACAAAATCTATCACATGTGAAGAAATTGTCAAGTTTTTCCTTGACACTATCTATCGATATCATGGATTGCTAAAAGATACTATATTAGATAAGAAGACTCAATTTGTATTAAGATTTTGAAAAATTCTTTTTAAGATTTTAAAGGTGAGTATAAAGCTTTTTTTAGCCTTTCATCTTCAAACTAATGAATAGAAAAAGTACATAAACAAAGTTTTGGAATAATACTTAAGGTGTACCATCAATTATCAACAAGATGATTAATAAATCCTCTTGCTATCTGTAGTATTTTCTTATAATAATGTGATGCATTTTTCTATACAACAAACATCATTTTTTGCCAATTATGGTTATCATCCATGACTGGATACTTTTGACTTTTCAAAAGTTGATAATCCTGCAGCAAAAGGTTTAATAAATCATTTATCAAAGCTACATGCAACAATGAAGGTGCAATTAAAGGAAGCTCAAGAACAACAAAAGATCAATGCAGATGAAGATCCTCAAGAACGACATATCTTTCCTCAAATAGATGATAAGATATAATATTTTTGGTATCACGACCTTGAAAGAGAATTCCAATATTTGGTGATTTTATTAGAAGTAGGAACAACTCTTGATGATATTCCAAATGTTTTATTTGAAAGAAGTTATAAAGGCTTGAACAATGACCAAATAATGTGGTCTTTTTACCTTGGTATAGAATACTATTGATGGCTAAGACGGCCTATCAACTATCTTCAAAGAGAACAAAGATTGGAATATGTCGCAAATACTATTTATTGTATCTTGGATATTTTCAATATATGAAGACCGCTCCTCATAGAACTCATCCATAGAAAGAAGAGTAATGTCACTAACATAGATATTTAAGCCAATAATTATCTATATGATTAGATAAAAGTAGATAAAAATAGATTAATTCCATAATAGCTTCTATAAAAGCTTTTTAGAAGCTTCATAGATACTACTTTGACTTTATAGGTATCTTTAATTGACTTTTTAGATTTAAAAACATAGTTAACAAGATGGCCATGTACCACACATGTTGGTAGCTTAAAAAATAAGATAATTATATCGCTTGCATATAGAAAACTTGCCTTGTAAGCTAAAGCATGTGTCTTGCAAAGTCATCACATATTAGAAGTCGTATAGAATATCGCTACGTAGCTCTTAGTTAGATAGTATATATATAAGCAAGACTAAAACCCTTTTTACTCTTGTCAACTCCTTTCTTGCTTCTAGTTTAGATTTAAGAATCTCTAATTCTCTTATCTTTTGGCAATAGCCATTCTAGTTTTTTTTTAATATATATACTACTTTATTGCTATTTTATCACTTTTTTTTAATATAAATTTTTTAAATTTATGTATCTTCTTCCAGTTCATGTCCTTAATACTAATATAGATTTTTGAGCTTTGAATTATAATTTATTTCTACTTGGTAGATGATAGTAGGTTGTGCAACTAAATACATGAAGATGAAAGAGATTTAAATTTTTAACTTGTAAAAACTTGAAGTAGAATCGATTTGTATAGAATTCAATATGGAATTCAATTAGAGATGTAGTTTGTTATACAAGATGTTTTTTCCATACATAAGGTAGTAAGCTAGAATTCAACAAAAGAATCCTCATTATTTCATATATGTATCTATTTTTTCTTTTAGTGAAGTTGTTCTATTGAGATGTTTGTGCTATAGTTAATTGGCATCATATGCCAAGTTAAAAATAAAAATAAGTAAATTCTCTTGATATATATTTTCCAACAAGGTCACTTTTTAGGCATAAAATTTTGTAATTGGTTTCTTTCTCAACTGTTATTTTAAAATTCTTGAAGGTTTCAAGTACGTTGTCTTTATAAGTGAGGAAATAGATTCAAAATTTTATAGAGAAGTTATCAATAAAAGCTAAGAAGTAATTAGAATTAAAGAGAGATTATATGGAAAATAATCTTTAAGCTATTATATAATTTTTTGGTCCAAAATGATGTTGGGTATTTAACAAATCTCTTTTAAGTAAACTATGGCTTATATGGAAAAAAAAAATCTCAAAACAAGCTATATATCTTGAATAATATCAAATCAATAAATCTATTTTAGGATCAATTAATAATAAGTTTTTGATTATGCTAAGTACATAAAAACCATGATCCAAATATTTTTATTTCCAAGGTGTGTAGTTTTTTAGATTATAAAAGATAGAGTTTTTCCACTAGTAGTCATTATAGTAGATAAAAAGGTAGAATTGATATTAGATAATATGTCTAGGTTGCATGTTATGTAAGTGCTAGCTCTAGAGTCTAATACCCATTTTAAAGATTCTTGTGAGGCCTTTGTTGTACATACTTCAAGTATTTTAGTAAGTACATCTTCTTTAAAGGATGTGTAAGGGGAAGGTACCTTGATAGTATTAGCAAAGTGATTTGGATACCATTGAGAAGAATTTGATCTACTTCTTGCTTCTAATTTATAGACCTTTATACAAAGTTGTTTAAGTTCACATTTATTTTCTTAATGGAAGAAACTCTCATATTCATTCCAAGTACTTTTTTTGAATCTACATTATATTTCTTTATTATATTGTTGATGGTGTTGTGATTGAAATTGTTAATAGTTATTGTTGAAGGAGTATCCATGTGATGAATTTAAGTGTCGTCTTACATAGCTTTGATTTCCATAAAGGTTAGATCTAGTCTTATAAAGTGGCTTGTGTTGAGTTGATAAGGCTTCTTCTATTTAAGTTCTTTTATAATTTTTGGTTTTGACAACATCTTCTTGTAGGAAGAGATTCTTAAATTCATTGAAAGAAGGAGTATGTTCTCTACTAGATATCATTTAATAAAAGACATTCCAACTTTAAGGTGAATTAGTCAAGTCTTTATCAACAAGTTCTTTATTTGATATTAGAATTTAAATAAAAGAGTATCCAATTCATAGAATTTGATTGATATAAGTCTCTCAATTTTATCCAATTTTTTCTAAAATCTATAGTATGCATAATATGAAGTAAGATAGAGTCTTTTGTCATTGAGACAATAATTATTGTTGCCTTGTGTTGTTCTACAAGCATGGAGCTTGGTATAGAAGTAGATGAAGGAAGACCTTGCATAGTATCTTTTGTAGTTTGCTGTAAGTGAAGAGAGTTGATTGAAGAAGACTCTACAGTTGGAACATTGAAAGGATTGACAACATTCCAAAGACATTCTCCTTGAAGAAGAGTCCGAAGCTTATACATCCAGATGGTGTAGTTGGTGATGTCTTGCAACTTTGTGTTCTTTGAAATATTTCTACCTGACATAGCCAACTCCATCATAAGAAATAGGAGAAAAAGATTGAATGAGTGGAGAGAGTGGATTATCAAGCAAGGAGGAATAAGTGAAAGATCAAAGTAAAGAGAATCTAAGTCTCCTCTGATACCATGTTGCAATCAGATGATTGCTTCATGCTTCTAAGATCAAGAGAATGGAGCTTCATTGAATCAAGTAAAGTGTAGTACATTGAGAGTCCAATCTACTTAAACATAGTATGTAGTCAGTATAGGTATGTAATCGAGTGAGCCAACCCCGTGGTTCTAGTACATTATCGACAGGGGATGAAAGGCGTTGGATGAGGGATAAATTTCATCACTTTCTGCCACAGCAACACCGAGATGATACTGGCCAAGACGTAGAAGATGAAGGAATTGTAAGAGGAGCTCGCAAGTGGTGAACGTCGAAATTGGGTCCAATAACAAATTTGCTGCACGATTAAAGTTCCGTGTTGTCACTCAATACAGCCCTTCGTACACCTTCAATCTATTTTTTCGCTCCCAATCACCGCCCTCGTCAAACAAATTCTTAGCCTTATCAATGTTACGCGAAATTAGGGCGAAGTCAAGGTGGAAGTAACCAAGGCGGAGGGTATGGAGCACGAGCCACCGTCTCCACCTTCTGTCCCACAGCCACCGTCTTCGCCTCTGTAATTTTGAGTTGCTTCAGCGAATTTCCCTTATCGCCGATGCGGATGTGAAATAACGCTTTCGCCAAAGCGCCTCTCGCACCTCGCTCTCACCAAGATTTTCCTCCGCATCAGCAATCTTATCATCGAGATTCTTGAGCTCATCAGCATGCTTAGCGTTCATCGCGTCCACGCACGATAGATCAAGCTCCCAGCCAAGCTTCGGGCTGCAAGTCTGATACAACTCCGTCATGTCATCGGCTTTAATGAGCGACAGAACCTCATCCTTCAACGATGCTTTCTCAATGTCCTCTATATCTGGAGACCGCAATAGAAACAACTTCTGCACCGGCAACTTCGAATCCTGCACTTACAGAACTTTTGAAGCTTTGTACGTTTATATCCATCATGAATTTACAAAATTTGCAATAAAGAAAAACAAAATAGAAAAACAACAATGACAAATGAATATCACATCATGTTGAACACAAACAACTTTTCCTGACATGAAAATGTAAAAAAGAATTCATTTTTGTGTAAATTGTACCTATACTGAAACAAAAAAACAGGTTTAAATCAGCAAAAGGTACTCGACACTGGATCTCAAAGATAATTTGTAAGTCATATTTGGTTGTGGATGATTTGGGATCAAATCAGTTTGTGTGCCAAATCACTGTACTGTGTATTAACAGAATTTCAGCATGTCCCCATCAACTTCCATACTCCTACATCCGCACATAGGTAGTAAACCCAAGCTTGCTTGTTCGTTCTTTCAACCCCAAGACTGCCTTTTATTGAAGGCCACATAACAATTTTCTAGAGCATCACCACCGGTCTAAAGCACAATAAACCCCAAAACGGATTGAAAGCCATTCAAGCTTCTGCAACAATTGATCTTTACGACCAGCTAAAGATCGGAGTGTATAAAATATTGTTGTAAAAGAAAGATCAAAAATACAGATGTTGTGCAGCTCTGTACCCTTCCGTAAAACAAACTCCATTCGGAGAGACTCCAGAACCTAAGGTAAATATTCAAAACTTCCAGCTTATCAAAAAGGAAGCTGAAAATGAAACTGGGTTGTGTCCAAAAGAACAAAACATGGACAGAAAGCCATTGCTCCCTCTTCCCTTGGGACTTGATATGCCCAACTAAGGTACTATATACAAAGATCTAAACTATGTTTTTCCTGGATGTTTTCTTAAATGATCAGAATTTTTGCTCAAGAAAAAATCGTCCTCTGGCAAAGACGCTGTGGCCACGATATCCTCCTCCGGTCTCTCCTCCCTGTGTTCAATGGGAGCAATGGGAATACGGTTCTTGCTGACGACCTGAGTAGCCCACCATTTTTGAAATTCTTTACATTTGACCAATTCACTAACTGCCTCTGCAGTTATATCCGTAGCCTTGTAATCACTGCTACTCAATGGCTTGCCGTCTGGAGTCTTGTGAAACGTGGAGTAACATTCTTTGCCCCAAAGTGGAGTCGTAGTCACCATGTTAGATCTAGGCTCGGCATCCATACCATGATCTTATCAAAACAATAGTCAAAGAACTACAATTACCGTATACTCTCTTTTTGAAGATTGTAGACATCGGAGGACAGTGATTACCTGTTAAATTTCTTCTTAGCAGTGTATTGACTTGCTCCCACCTCGTCAGGGCATCCTTCTCGGGAAGATTCTGTAGAGGATTTGCTTGCATTTTAGTTAAAGGACTCCTGTTGACACCTTGTTTCATTGGGGCATATTGTCTTCGCATCGTAGGCCGTCTGTTCTCCCAAACAAAACTAAGTGTCAAATTTTCAACAAATGCAGACAATCGACCCTGTCACCTTTCATCATCAGAAAAATAGTCAATACGTCTCTCTGTTGATAAACTGCAAGGTTTCACAACGATTATCTATAAATTATGCAATTTATTACAAGCTTCTACTTCAACTAAAGAATATCTACCAGAATGCCGGGAAGTTATCATATTTTGGGGGTGTTTCGCTAACATTCCTGCACATGGAAAGACCCACCTATAGAAAAAAGAAAAACAACCAGACAGCATGCACACACTAATCGAAATTGGGGAAGACAGGTGACAGAAACTTACTTGGACCAGAATTTTTGTAACTTTTCCCCTGCCCACGCGAGAACTCCATCTGAATCCCAGTACCTATGCAACCGTAAAATCGTCACCACTGATTCCTCCCATAATGCACAAAGATGAACGGGAAACACAGGGGTAACGTACTTACTCAGACCACTGTTGTTCAAGGTCTTCACCAACTTCGAGATTTCCCAGAAGGTTGAAGAATTTCCCCACAACCCAGGTCGCTGCTAATCCGAATGCGAGCGTTAATCCTGAAAATATGACGTCGCATGAGGACTGCAGCAAATACGACATGTCAATATCATGTATCAACTAAATAACAAGCAGAATCATTCAATAAAAGAGAAACACAGATGTACCGACACACAGTGGCAATAGAACACAAAAATATGAAACCAGTGTTAGATGATCTATTAAGCCCGATCGATCAACGACCAAATAGGAGATTTATAAACTTGCAATTATATAATGCTTCCAAATGTAAAAAACAAAAATTGCCGCAATCGTTGAAGGACCACTTGTTCGTTGCATTGATATCCTTATGTTTTACCAAAGGTAGAGTAAAACTAATACCTGAAGAAGTATTGCACCACCAATGATACGAATTGCCCACTTCACAAACTTGGCAACACCAGAATCAATGTTTCCATCTTCAGCAAGGACCATCTTCCGCACACCCCAGAAGCCAACCCAGGCACCTATGAGGACAACACCAAGACCAAGGAACAACGCCACCTATTCAAAACAATCAATCAGAAGTCGACATTTAGCACAACACAAAAAATACACCACATATCACGGCGCGTGATACTGAACTTTCACAAGTCACCTCCAAGTTGCAACTGTATCAAAGTCTGATTCATACCAAAAGAAGCAAAGACATCTCAAATGCTAGTTGTGGATAAATACATGTGACCAAATATTCAGGAATTAAAATACGTTGAGGGAAAATATAACTTTAAAATTCATCGCCTCAACTTTGGGGCTTCTAAGACCAAAAATTAGTAGAATTGTATCTCACATAGTTAAGAAGATGTGCAGTGCTTACAGGGTTGTACATATCATCGCTGAGTCCAAGCTCCTCAAGAAGAGTGCTGTCACGTGCACTAAAATAGTGCACGACTACACTCCCCATCCCTAGCTGAACAACGCAAACCCATTGAATAAACTAAGGTTACACATCTCTGATATCTAATGTGAAACTCTCGAGTAATCTCTTGGTATAATTTCCAGAGTTGATAATCCTGAAAGTTCCTTCGACGATAAAAAAAAAAAAATACATACTGTGGTTAGAAACGGCTCTTACTACCAGATTACAGATGGAGAAACATACCAGAAGACCATAGAGAACAATGAAGAGAGAATTATTGCGCCCAGTTGGTAGCAGCTTCATCCCCTGAAAACGTCACAACCAATACCTTACGTCAGCAAGTCAGGATTCCAATTTGAGAGAACAGAGACAAAGACCCAGTAAAGAGCAAGAATACAAAATACTTGTTAAAACCTTCAAGGCTCTCATCCCCAAATATGGTAGTATCATCGACACTTTTCATGCACAAAAGCCCACAGAAGTTCTTAAAAAAAGGGCATGTTGCGAAAGATCATGTTATGTCGTCAAGAATGACCTTTCAACTTGTACCTGATATAGCAGTACGATAATCACCAAGAAGACACCCAAGGTCATAGCACTACTGTAATAAAACGGCAACCAGTCGCTGACTGAAGGGGCCAACAATAACAATAATATCCCCAAAACCAGAAAAGCAATTCGAAAACCCTGAACCTCTGCACAAACGAAGTAACTGTTGATCATGGACAAGAAAAGAGTAAAGGAAAAAAACTCATTTGCTAGAGGTTGAGCAGAAACGACACCGTCACCATATGAAAAAACAGCAAAATAAATAAAAAAATTAGCTAATTAGATTTATCAATAAATAACTCAACAAATTAAAAAGACTTACAGGGGCAAATACTTTAATAGAAGTGATTATGCTCGATTCCAGAGGCATACCCACTCAGTCAAGGGTAATAGTGGTTGGAGAAACTTAGCGATAGTGAGGAAAAAAATTGCAACAAACAAATCCTGCATAAAACGTTCATCGCAATGGATACAAAAACATTTAATCAAGTGTACCTTCTTCGACGGATATATTCAGCGCAACGTCTGTATGAGAAATAGTCAATCGAAGATCAACATATTTGGTCTCAAAGGGAGACGTAGCTCCAGACCAGAAACCCTGCTCAAGGGCTCGCCAACTCTCCTTTGAGCACTGCGCCACTTCCATCGACCCATTCCTGCAAGTAGTACATCGTCATGAACACATAATGAATCTGCAAAATACAACACGTTGAAACGTAAACAAGTCTCATGTAAAGGAGACGGCATGCAAAAGTGGAGTATAGTTATCTTTCCAAATTATTTACATTCACAGGAAGAATGACAAAGCATGGCCTAAATGAAGGTTTGAGCGAGTTTTTCTACAGGAGCACAAATATAGTAACAGCGAATGAGTAAGAGAGAAAAAAAATTATCACAAAACGTTTATATACTACCATGTGGATGCCAAGCATTTTATCTCACCGATGCATGCAAACCTCGACTTTAGGAGGAGCAGGCCTGTACGCAGGAGCAGCTTCAGATTGAAGCTTGACTCGCGTGACGACTGCAAACTTTTGGATATTTGAAAACCGAGGAATGCCATGAATTCGAACCCGCATGCACGCCACTAGGTCTCCTGGTTTTACCCCAGGAGAAGTTTCAACAAACACGCCATCAGCCAATGGGCGCAATGCGATTGATTGGCCCACCGAGACATCTGCCACACACATAACCACCTGTGAGTGACAACGTACGCTCCCTTCAGAACCGCAAAAACCGGTACATTCCAAAAAACCAAAAACAACCCACATTGCTGATAAACTTCTCTTCAACTCATGCAAACGTCGACTCTAAAACCCTTCTCAACATTGAGCCACAAAAAAAATAATAAAAAAAAAAATACAGCACTCGCCAAAATCCGTATCAAAAAAAATTAGCTCGCACCTGAGCCCCTCTCACCTCCATTAAAATTTTAGAAACCAAAACTAAGAACCCTAAGACTCAGAGCACTGACCAAAAATCCTCCACCCAGAATCAGTCCATCCCAAAAAAAACACACACACACGTACACACACCCCACCAATCCCAGAAATTTAACCACCTCACCCCCAAGTCCCTGCACTACATTACCTGGAAAAGGATTAATGCCGGGCCTGTTAATCGCCACCACAGCTTCGCCCCACACCAATGAAAACAACACCACCAACCAAAGACACAACCCAGAGGGAACGACGACCTTCATGGTTGCCGCCCCTTTCCAATTAACCCAACGAGATCAATCCCTGCTCTTCTTCCCTCCCTCCTCACCCAACCATAATCATGTCCAAGTCCTCCTTCTCCTCCTCCTCCTCTCCGATTCCCCACCCTCCAAAAACCCACAATAATCAAATCAAGCGAAACATGCTCCACGATACTGCTCTTCCGCACCTTGGCGCCAATTTTGAACTCGACAATGCGCGCGACGGTCTCAACTACGATTGCGCGATACGGAAAGAGGCGGAATTGTGCAACAACGAGGAGTAAGGGGAGATTCATCCGGTGGCGTTAGACCCATGAGAGATTGAAGGCGAGACTGACTGAGTTAGTGATCGATAGGCAGCCAGCAGCTCTCTCGCTCTCTGTTTTTGGGTCCCCATTGCTCTCCCGAACCCTTTTCACACGGCGCTGCTCCTTCTTCATTCCTTTCGTGTGCCGAGTGCTCCGTTCACACCTCCTCATCGATTCGAGTCTTTTCGCACCGCGGAGATTGTCCACGGGTTTAGGCGTCCACCGTTCTCAGAAATAGTGTTCGTTGCCGAATAGTATGGTTTTGCGAATGCAAATTAACAAGTGATTGTCATAGGTGTTTATTTATTTGGATTTTCATTCGGGATGTTTAGAATGATGTGGGTTTTTTCTTTCTTTATTTTTATTTTTTATTTTTTTTATAATCTTTACCAAAGACTATGAATTTGAAACTTTTGCTTCTTTGGAGATTGTAAATTTACATATAAAAATTGTTGTGGATAGAGACACTTGCACAATTAAAACTGGTCACATGGTCCAAAGGTTCAAATTAGTAGTGGCATTTGTTCGTGGTGAAAGCAGTTCTGTAATATACATTTTGTATTTTTTACATTAAAATTCGTTTTATATGATTCTTACGAGGAATATAATCTTAATATTAGTGAACATACAAATTGAAACATTCTTTCAATTGAACGTATTTACATTATGTTTTTATTAAATTAATGAAATTAAATATTTAAATTTTAAATTACAGAACAACAGAAAAATGCAATAAAAAGCAGATATTACTAATCATGAAAAATCTACATTAATTGTAGATTTTCCTGTTGTTTCAAGTTATTTGTATATAAATTGCCAAAAAGCAGTCGTAGGATAATTTTTTTTTTTGTAACTAGTTGCTTTCACTTAATTTGGTATAGTTACATTTATATTTTCATGAAAATGTCTAAGTGATTCTTACTATTCAAATTTATGCTAGAAGTTCTTTGAAGATGTATTTAGAAGATGTAAGTGTCTAACTTAACTTTAAAGTTGATTGGTGTATGCACTTTAAAAAAACAACTAATGCATAATATTTGTGTTTTATTTTTCAAAAATAAACTAACAACAATAAATTTAAACCTTTCAAAGTTCTTAATTCCACTATTACACAAATGCACTTTTTCTGAAAATATAGTCTATTTCAGAAACAAAAGCTAAATATGTCAAAAATATTGGATAATAGTAATAATAATATTATTATTATTATTAATCACAATAATCTAAAATTATATTTCTTGTAAATTTATTTAAAACCCAAGTTCAGTTTAGCACCTATGATTTTTCCAAAGAAGAACGAATTCCTCAATTTTCTCGTTGTTATTATTATTATTATTATTATCTTTTCATGTAGAAATTCTCATGGCGTTGGATAATCTAGAGGAAGATCACAATAATCTAGTATTAAGAGATTTTATCGAATAGAGTATTGGAATCATCCATCCTGAAATCTCAAACACTACTCATTCATCCATATTCCAGCCATTCATCCAATATCCATCCATCACATATCATCCACACACATATCCATCCATCCAGCATGCTTAGAGTCAATGCGCAGATTTGAATTCTGAAGATGAGAATAAGCCGACAGCGAGAATTTGATGGCGAACATCTTCATTCGTTTCTAGTACCGCTGTTCATCAAATTCGGCGAACTAGGGCTGAATGGAAGGGCGGGGACGGGGGTGTTTTTGTGTGTGATTGTTGCAGTGTGTCTCGCACTGCGACTGAGGAGGAGGAGTGAGTGTGATTGAGGAGGATGAGTGAGTTTGATTGAGGAGTAGGAGGGGCTAGCGCTGTGTCTAGGGCGCCACAAATTTGAGTTGCTCGGTTTCCATGGTTGCCAAATTCCATCCCTCGCCGGGTGGTGGGGAAGATGAGGCCGTAACTGAGTCTGCGAAGAAGCGAACCCGGAAACTTAAAGAGCCGGGAGTTAGTAGCAGTGCTGAACCGCATCGGAAGAAGAGGAAAAGAGTCGAAGAAGTCGCTACGGATTCCGCACAGGTTATCGAGGATTTTGGCGCCGCGAGTGGTTCTGAATCGCATCTGAAGAGGAGAAGGAAGAAGAAGAAGCAAGACGAGTCTGCTTCCTCTGGTCCTACATTGAATCTCCAAGACGTTGAAGGTTTTGATGTCGTCAGTGGAGGGGATGTGTCGTTGAAGAAGAAGAAGAAGAATAAGAAGAATTCTACCACAACTTCCGTGCAGAATGTGGTGCAGGTCGCTGAGGATCCCCGTCCTAGTAGCGATGGCGAATCACACGGAAAGAAAATGAAGAAAGATAAAAAGGAATCGATTGCTGTGCCTGTTGTAGTGAATGATTCGCAAATTGTCGAGGGTCAGGAGCGTGTTATTGATGCTGAACCAAAATTGAGGAAGAAGAAGGTCAAGGAGTCTATCTCCACGGCTACCATAGTGAACAACTTCCAGATTGTTGAGGAACCGGAGCCCGCTAGTGATGCTGAACCGCTGAGAAAGAAGAAGAAGAAGAAAAAGGTGATGGAGTCTGTGCCTACCCCTGGCACAGTGAACGGCACGCAGATCGTTGAGGATCAGGAGCTCGTTGATGGCGCTGAACCACAGAGAAAGAAGAAGAAGACGAGGAAGGAGGCTACCCCGGAGCCCTCTACATCAGATCCCGAGACAACTTCTGAAGATAATGACCTTGTTAGTGGAGTTGAATTACAGAGTAAAAAGAAGAAGAAGAAGAAGAAGAAGAAGAAGCCTACCACCATATTTCCCGAGTTGAACCCCACGAAGATTGTTGACGATTCTAGGCCCGTGACGGGATCTGCAACAAAGACTATTCTAAGAAAGCAGCATACAGAAGCGGGCAATGGTGCTGAACCACACAGAAAGAAAAAAGTTTCTTTCCAATTACCTGATCCGACAGATGATATTCCGACAGAGAACGAACCCCCGAGAGAAGAATCTGTAAGCGCAGAGTTTTATAACTGGAAAAACGATCGGACGCGTACTGATTTAGTTTGGGGAGGGTACACTCCAGAGGAGGATGGGGCTCTGAAGCAAGCCATCTTTGATTATATTCAGGTAAATATCAACTTCATGAATATTAATGTTGGTTTTTAGTTGGGTTGAGTTAGATGTATGTTCTAGCTTAGATGAAAAAATAAAAACGCTTATGTGCCCAGTCCTGTCTTGTGCGCGTAGGAACAAGGCTGGACTCGAGAAGAAGGTTTAAAGAAGATTTTGAATTCGAGACGGAGCGAAGCAAAGGGTTGCTGGTTTGTTATTCGTGAGTACATTCTAATTTTTCAACACTTTTAAAGTATTTTGTATACGCATTCTTCATTTGCAGAACGCGAGTGGTCATAACTGTTTTGATGTTTGTATCATGTAACCGCACTATCTTTGTAAGCCTCAATTAAGGCGATAAGTATGCTTTCTTATTAACCTATTCTAATCCAGAAAGTAGTGTAAAGGGGACATGTACGGTAGGATTCAAGAGTCAGACGAGGAGATATATTTTGTTATCGACTTTCTTCCTACATACAAGGCATTGGTATGGTTCATGGTTCGGGTTCTCACAAATTGGGACGATGTTTAAGTTCTAAAAGAGGGACGACTTTGATTGCAGGAAAGTGTTTACCACAGAGAGAACTGAAGCGTCTCTACACTAGAGCACGTAAAATACTCGCTCCTGGAACGCACCTTGGGAAATGGACATCTGAAGAGATTCAAGCTTTGATGGAGTAAGTGTTTCCCAATGACTGTGATATTCGAAATCTTTTTACACGTTCAGTGGAACTGGCATCGCAGTTGCAAGTTTGTTAATCAAGTTATCATTTTCCGAATCGTTCAATCTTGTTAATAATAACTGGACAAACTGGCTGTTACGAGGTCGTGATTTATAGATTTCGTCTAAGTGTCAAGGTGTTTGAGTGTCAAAGTTTGTTCCATTTTTTAATCCAGATTTCCGTGACTTTAGTCTCACTTTTCTTTTTCCATGTTTGTGGACGGTCTCCAACTTTCATTCGGTTCGTATAATCCTTGTGCAGTTCTTTAGTAGGTTTCATATCCGTCGTTTCTCTTTTCTCACGTACTTCATGCTAATGTGTTATTTTTTTGAGTACTGCTGCTATTCAAAGAGGATGCTGATTCATTTGCATGGTAATCAGGTTGCAATCCGTGCATGGCAACAACTGGAAAAAAATATCAGCAATGATCGGAAGGGATTCATATTCATGTAGGGATAAGTGGCGCATTACGAAATGGTCTCATACCAAAACAGGTTTGAAAGCAGGTAATTGTTCCCTTGTAAATCCATTCTGTGAAAAAAGAGTCTTTGCTGAATCTAATGTGCGTAGAGACTGGTCAAGTGTGAATTCTGCACAGTACCCTACCTTTTTGGAGATCGTGCAGTTGTTTCTGCTAAGTCAGCGTTGTGCATCTGTTAATCGGTTTGGAATTCTCATTAATGAAATAAGTATAGGCACTAAGCTGTTTGCTAGTTCTGCCAGTAGCAACATTTTCGCTTTTGAGCACTTATTCTGCGTTGCAATATCTAATGTTTCTCATTACTTTCGTTGGAGTACAGGCGCGTGGTCTGCAGAGGAGCAACAAAAGCTATGTGCGCTTGTTCTGAAGTCTTTACATGTGAAAAGTCAATTGGCCAAGAATGGGCAATTAAAAAAAGATCACAGAGTGGTATTTAATCTTATGATGCTTTTTAATTTTCAATGTTTAGGCTGTTTAGATTACATAGTTCGTTCTAGTGCTTCTTAGCATCTGTCTGATTCTTCTTACTCATGGCTCATGGACCTCCTTTCTTGATTCTTAGAGCTTTGTAAAGCTAGTTTGTGAGGATTTGATATATTTGTTTGTCGATCAAGTTAGTAAAGAGAGGGCAAAAAATGATAGTTATAGCGGAAAGGGCATCAACATTTTGAGCGTACAGTCTAGCTTGGTCGGTTACTTTTACGGCTTCATTTCCAAAGACTAGGTGAAACTTTTGTTAAGCGGGCTGTCAGGAACATGGTCGTTGATTTTTTGGGTTGTAAGGTTTATGCAGATGTGTCCTGTTTTAACCTCGCATCCTAATTGATAATATCCTATCCATATATAATTCTAAACTTTTTTTTGTTCTGCGTTAATGTAAGTTGTGATTAAAAATGCTCTTTGTGCTTAACTGGCCCTTGTAGACATCTATTTTCAACGTTGCTGATCGTGATATCTGGATGATGGCGACTGCTCACAAGCAACTTGTGTTGTAGATCCGTGATGACATTAATTGGGAGTTTATTTCTGAGAAAATGGAGGGTCGTGATCGTCTTTCATGCATGACTCAGTGGTAATGTGTCCCTCTTTCAGCAGTACTTCTGAATGTCACAGATTTTTGGCTTGTAGATTAAGAGCCTTTTCTCTCTTTGACTTTCTTCAGGCTATTTTCCAGTTGGTTTCAGCCCTGTTTGCCAGAAAGGTATAGCATGTAGTCACTGGGGTTGCAATTGGTCGAAGATCTTACATTAATGCCGGGGCCCTTGACAGGTATAGAAAAATGGCCTCATCATTGGTGACATCTGGAGACTGGGCAAACGGTGATGATCAACTCCTCTTAGAGAGGTACCTCCCTACCTCATTTCTTCAGCATTTAACACTTCGAAGTATTGCTGCATGGACTTATCTGCGGTCCTCCAATTTGCAAGTAGTTCTGCTGATATCTAATTCCAAGATTTGGGCCTATGCTTAGTTTCTTCTTTGAATTTATCTATCGAATACAGAAGTCACCAACAAAAATGCTTGAATTGTACGTGCTAGGCTGATGGAGGAGTTCCCGTTGTCTGAGGAATTGGTTGAATGGGATTCGCTCTTGAAACACAGGTGAGATCGTGCATCTCGTCTCAGACTAAATCCTTTAAACCAGGAATGTCTTTCTGAAATTACTCTTCATGCTCTGTTTGCTACCGCTGTTTTTAAAATGTATCTTTCACTACTATTAATTTTATGTCGGCATGTAATCTGAGACCTTTCCAACTTTCAAGATATTTAGGTCCTTGATTAGGATGGGGTCTCAACTTTACTAGGATTTTAAATTCTTCAAGAATAATTTTTCTACAGTTCATAGGAAATACTCATACTTATTTCAATTTTCATAATATTTTGTATAGCAAGCCCAAAAGTCCTAGGCAAAGGAGTCCCCCCCCCAATCTGGCGTTGTTTCTAATGTTAACCATGTTGATCACGTCTGATTTCAGATCAGGAGATATATGTAAAAGGAGGTGGGAGCAGATGTTACGCTCTCTTGGGCGGAGTTCCGCAGTGCAGCACCAGCACTTCCTTGAGAAGCTGGAAAATGTCACGAAAACGTTCGCCCCACACCTTCTGGACAAAGAGTACGATCAACAGTTTGCTGAAGAAATGCAGAAAGCAGAGGCTGCTGATAAACCTGACGATGAAGACGAGGATGAGGAAGAAGAAGAAGATGACGACTAGTTTCAATCTTCAAATGCGCAAACCTCCTTTTTAACCCACATCTTGTATCTTCGCCACCTTTGACTGACTGGAACGGTGCACACCCACTATGAGTCATTCATTGTTCAAGGTCTTGAGTAGAGACCTTGGCACTAAGCCTGTAATTGACACAGGGTGGATCCGAAGACTAAGACATGCTTGGCCAAGGATTCCTGCCGCCGGCTAGTTAGCAATAATTCAGTATATTATGTTCGTAGTAGCTATGAATGTGAAACTCTAGCATAGTTTATGCAGTTTTGTCAGTCAAGTTCCTTATCCTGTTTAGTAAACGCAATCGATGCGTGGTGTCAACCTTAAACCCTAAACCTGTGTCCTGATAGGGTTGGATCCGTTTAACCAGATTGCGAATGTTGTGGGCAGAGATTCATCGTCTCTGTTGAGCCATTTTTGGAACTTGGGGGTTACCTTATTTTAAATTCTTTACATTCAAAATAGGAATGTTAAGGTTGACAAAAACGGATGAAGGACTCTTTAAAAAGTATTATTGGTTAGTTAAGTGCTGAGTTTTTTTCTTTACCTGAGGAATCTTTCATTCCGCATGTAAAACTACTGTAGGGAAGGAAGTAAGCTATTGACTATGGTCGTGGACATGTGTGGCGTTGATGAAACTTGACATTGTGTACGGCACTCGGTGACATGATCTAGCAGTGTAATACAAGTACTTCTCCCCCTTAGTGGATTGATTTAAATTTATAGTACCGACTCAACGAATGCTGCGAAAAAGCTTTTGATCAGTTGATTTAAGTGGCAAAATCTGCTTCCTGCAAATTTATGCACATGAGTGTCGTTTACAGTATCTACACATCAGCACTGTAACACAAGATGCTGGACAGAAAATGCCCCTGCACAAATGATTGACCTAATGCAGCTCAACTCGAAAAAAAATACCTACAAAATTTGAAGTTTGCACTTTCCTCACTTGTCAATGAACAAGTCGTGGGGAAATCACATTATCTGGGATGCTAGATTTAGGACTACGAAGTGGCTAGAAAAGGCATGCTGCATATCAATATCCAACTACACAAATGCGGAAGGGGAATTGGAAGAACTAAAAATATCCCAAGTAGATTCCGTCCTCATCAGGTGTAGTCGTTCCACAAATGGCTGTAAACTCTCCTCCTCACGCAGTGGGGCTAGCGCTATGCATATACTTAGTTCACGTACAGCCTCATCGTATCGCCTGCGGATTCACGTTACCGGCATTATGTGTGTGTACGAAAAAGAAATCCCAAGTCCTCTTTCAACATCAAGAAACACGAATTGATCTCGTGATACTGTTAGCAAGACATGAAAAATAGCTGACAAGAAGTGTGCAAAAGTTGAAAATTTTGCCATTCAACACAGATTTGAGTACAAAACAGACAGCAATTACGAAAGAATAGACAATTACCGACGATGGTATAGAAGCATCCCATGCTCTTTCCGTATTGCCCAATTCCGAGGCTCCAATAGAACCAAGCGTTCCGACGCCATTACTGCCAATCTATACCGTGCTTAATAATATGAGTACGGTATAAATCTGCAAATTACTGCAATGCTTCTGAAGTTTCACAAGACAAGCTCAAATGATGTCACACTCGCTCAGTCAAAAAATCGATGATCGGTCAAATAGCTCTTACTGAAGGTCTTCAGGTCGAAGCATTGCACCCACTGGAAGCTCTGCATTGCTGGTTGTGTAGCTCGAACTCGTCATGTCTAGTCGTAGTGCTGAATCAGGGGTTAGTCCTGGCCTTGGCTTCGCTGCCTTCTTCCAGTACGCACTCTGCGACCAAGGGAGTTGGTTAGACAAGACATATCCTCATACAAGTGCTCCACAGGTTTACCCCAGTTGATTGAAGAATCAACTACATGTGAATTCAATCTAATCCTAGTCAGAACAACTTTTGGGAAGATATTTTGAGCAAATGACAAACCCGAAAAACAATAATAAGCTTGACGTTTTGATTCTGCCGCCTGAAACTGCTTTCCCGGCAGATCGATTACCCATGAGCACGGGACCAGCATTCCTATTGTCTGAACCAAATTGTAACCAGACCCAGCCAGCAGTTTTTGTTGGTATTTGTTACAACTCACTTTCAAGCTCTTCAGAATGAAGATGAGGATATCTCTGTTGGATTTAGGCTCTAACGTTTGGACAACTGAAATGTCCAACAAACGACCAATGGAAGAATCTGATTTGTGCTGCGACGATGATGATGATCGCCACTGAGAAAACTCTTCAATCATCCAACTCTTCCCACCTTTGCAGGGCTCAAAAACCATCTGGTCATAATGACATCAAAAGTACAGATATGAGCACATCTACAAAACGCAATTTTAATTCGTGCAGTGTTCAAATCGATCATGTGATAACAAGCTATGCACAAGTATTCAGATAGAAACACATAATAAATAACGACCACACTGAATTTGGATTTCAAAGAGTAGAGACCTGTACAGAATCATCGAGATGAGGCCAGACGAGAAAGGTTCCGTTCACGGCAGTTCCCTCCATCTTCACACCCAATCTCCTGAACACTTCCATGAAGATTATGCCCAGGAGTACCCCTGCGGCATAGAAAGAGACCAGATGAACAAGTAGAACGGAAGCTACTATCGGTTCATCAAAAGGATAATGAAGGAACTGTCTACATGTTGCAGAGAACAAATGCACCTGTTCCCGATCCGAAAGTCAACGCATGATCTATGTACGATTGAAGGGGATCATTGGATGAAGGTGCCTGGATAAAATCCCAGGCCTCACAAAGCACAACATTAACCGCCTTTAATATTTGCAACGGCTGCCTTCTAAGTCCGTCATCATTCAAATGCTTGTCTACTTCAGAAACGAGGCCGTCGATTTTATCCATCCACCCAGAAATACTCAAATCTCCTATCATGACTTCCATAGGATTGACGTTCCATCTTTCCCTTGCTGGCGATGAGACAAGAGGGAGGGAAATCTCGTTTTGAACAGCAAGATCGTCCTTCTCTCTGTTCAAAGATATGAAGGCTTGGTCCTCGGCTAAAATCAGCAGAGCACTCTGCAGAAGGTAGAAAAACATTAGATACTTGCATGATCAGCTCAAGTGTGGCAATCAAAACGCATATGAAAATTATCTCATTGTAAAATCCTCCCATACGTGGCCAGAAACACCCTCGTTTAGAGCCGTCATTAACCGCTTTGCCAAGAGTTCTTGATATAAATCCTTTCCTGTGAGGCAAGGGCTAATGATGTTAGATTGAGTATTGAAGACCTAGGCTTAGATGGAATAATGATTGCTTTTGTTCCTTTTTTAGAAGCTCGATGCGTTATGGTTCATTATATGGAATTCGTTTATAGTAATTGCTACAGGTAACAGACCACATCTCTCCCACGGATGTGAAGAGGAAAGAAAATATCCACTATACTTGTGTGTGTTTTGCAACAACAGTTGATGTGCTGTGAACGTGTTCACGTTTGAAGGCTGATGTACCACAAACGACTCATTATTCTCTTCTTCAATGAAGCCTGGCGCACCAGATTTATCTGATGCTCTGGTAAAAGGTCGCCGATTCGACCTTCCTCTAGCGAAGGTAGTAACAAGTCCAGTGTATTCTAAATAGGTTTAAAGAGTACCTTGACCAGAGAAACGGCGTCATCAGACTTGTGTGAGCTTATTTCCTTGCAAAACACCTGTCTGGCGAGAATCATCACCTGATAAATAAGAATTTCAACATAAAATGCCTGTTATTCACATATCACTTATAAATGTTACTCTCTTCAGAACCTTCAGGTGCAAGTCATGACGTGATAACATTCTTTTAATTGATAGGGGAACTTGGCACACACAGTCTCACCACGTAAGTTGCAGGAAATAGCCTTTCCTCAAGCATGAATTGCAGTGAGAAAAAATATAAGTATAACAATTACCTCGCTCTCATAACGACTCCTTATTGAAGCGGAACGCATTTTCTCGTCAAAATGTGGACTCTCCGCGCAGCACACGAACTTCTTGCGGCAATGCGCCTTTCTAAATTTTTCATAATGACTCCTTTCAAAAGTCCTGGTAAAGGTTACCAGATATAAGTCAGGCTTTGAAATCATTCTTGGAGAACATGGGTCCGTTTCTAGATCTAATTCGCACATCACGCGAAGACACTTACGTCTACGCCAAGCATACAATCTCCACCTTCTAAGTGTAGAATTTAATTTCAAGAAGATCTACGGAAAAGTAACATGAATTCCAGACCCTCGTATGAATGGTCTCCGCTGACGACAGGAGAAAGCTAAAATAGTCTCCATGGGCACTTTTATTGCCAGAACGGCGGCAGCGATAGCCATATTTTCGAATGTATGTAAGGATACTGTCTTGTCTTCCTGCATCAAGCAACACCGTCTTAAATTCCAGAAGCCAGATTTGTTCAATAAACTAAAGACCACCAGTAAAGTTCACGTTGTATGATTGACGCAATATCTTGACAAACCATATATAGTAGGACGAGATATCTGGTAGCTACAGCAACATAAAGTTACATACATTGCAAAATCCTGCAATGTAATCTTGCATGAACCACTGGACGCTAGAATTTGGGACACCCATACGAAAAGCACAGTTGAAAATAAATCTCTCCAGAGTGGTTTCATTTTAGAGAAACTGAACTACACAAAATATAATTATAATAATAATGAAAATAAATAAAAAATAATCAACAAAAAATATAAAGAAACAAAGAAAGAAGGAAATGAAATTGAGGGGAGGGGTGTGTGCGGGTTTGGTTACATTAACATTGTCATACATTGTATGTTTACAGCACAAAATATCACAAAATAAAATTAAAATCTAATTCAAAAAGGAGAACTTCGTGTAGATGTGGACTGAGGATGATTTCTGCTGATGTTACGAGTGAGATTCAGTCCTCCATCATCGAAAAAAAAAGGAAAAGTTATCCCATACTGACGTCCTTACCGATAAGCAACGCTTCAGACAGTTCAAATTATTAGTCATAAGGAGCTACGATTCAGGTGCACTAGAACGAAGACAAAGCAACGACACCCACACAGGCAATATCTTGTAAAGGAATGTCATTAGACAAAAATAATCATACTTTGTCCGTATCGATAGTACGCATCTGAAGAATGCTAATATAGAGGCGAGTAACAATCTCCAATTACCGTGCACACCATAGCATTTACCAAAAAAACAAATCCATATAAGCATAAGAGAATAAGAGTAAAAGATGAGGAGATCCAGGGCATCATATATATCCTTTTCTTCTAAAAAAGTGAATAATAATTAATCCAAAACTTCAGGGAGCGCGGACGAAATTCTTCGCCACTCATTAAAAAGATCACAACATTAAATGCACTTGAAATGCACAACACAGACTGCAGCAATGGAATCCGGACGCGCATCGACACAACAGCACAACCAAAAGTTCCAAAAAATACGAAGACACCAGCAGCTAGAGAACGTAAAGATGATAGGACTAGAAAATCCTTCTCAACAGTGATAACACTTCAATACGAACGCAGAGGAGCATTTCCGACAACACCAATCTCTATTCGACCACAGCTCCAAGTCATCTACCAAAAAAAACACAAGACCTCCGCAAACCAAAAGAAGGCCACTCGCAAAATGTGGACGGTGCGAAATTAATTGAAATTAAACTAATAAGAAACACGAACATAAACCACAGGAAATATATATAAGAACAAATTCAGAAAGCCAGCGCGAATAAGAATATGTTCAAGAAATCAGTTACCGTGATTGCGCACGCCCGTCGCAGCTCGATATCGTATAACCAAAAGGACTTCAGCCTCAATCGCAACGAAGACAAGCACAGAGAGGAAGGAAGGCAATGGCAGAGCATGTCCAAGGGAAAAGGGAAGAGAAAGAGGTGCGATCCAAAGCAAAAGAGCCAATACTGATGAAAACAACAACAACAATAATAATCTCGTGTCTATTATCTTGTGTATTGTTCGCACCCGCATCGCACCGCATCGCACCACGAACAAGTCTCTCTAACTTCTCAAGCCTCCATCGAGACCACGCACGTCCTCACGTGTTGTTTTTGTAATTGTTGTTGTTGCTGCTGTTTTTTTGTTATATTTGTGTGTTAATGTGCACTCTCGGCACTCGGCGTTGCAGCGAATCCACGACGCAAATCACAGCACAACTCCAACCCCGCCCCTGCCCTTTTTTCTGGCGCCACAACCACAATTCCAGCGGAGACCAGTCGTCCAGTCAGCGCTTCACGGCTCTGCCTCCATGGCAACCCGGATGACGTGGCATTCTTTTGGAGACGTGGAAAAAGTAGGATGGAAAAAGTAAACGCAGGTGGGAAAGGAGGCCCGGGGGGTTGGGTTAGGGTCATTTGCCCCCTAACTCACTCACTAACTAACTAACCAAGTAACTAACTAACTCTATCTTAATTAAGCAAACTCTTTCTCATTAGAAGAGCCATATTCCAAAGGCATTTTTATTTGCCTCTTTGAAGACTGGTCTTTGCTAAACCCCCACCAAGTTGCTTTGGCATATACCCCCCCCCACCTTTTTTTTTTTTTTTTTTTTTTTTTTTTGATACCATGGTTCTTTGTGTTCCCCTTAGTCTTACCCCCTTCTTCTATTTTTATTTTTAAGTTTTCTTCATTCAATTTTGCCCCCCACTGCATAAATTACCCCCAAAGCCTAAAACCTGGACCTTGGCAATGTTTCCACTTTTGCATGTGTGGGGAAGTCCAGCTTTGGGAGAAGAGAAAAAAGAGCTTGTTAAGTGTATGTTTGTATTACGTACATACAACTTGTTTGCAAGGAATTATTAATATTGAGTAATACAAATATTATTCCAAAGTTGATGTTTATTGTATGCTTGGTTTTGGTTGAGGTAAAAGTTTGAAGTTGAAGATATAAAATTTTGAATCTCAGTGAGTTTAGTTAAAATGTAGCACTTTGAGTAAATAAATTATGTTGGAAAACATGTGTCCATTGATGTAATTATAACAACCATTTAACTTTTTTGGTGTTGTTGTAGTGTTGTCACTTAAATAATTTTTTGTAAAACTGTTCATGGATTTATAGATCATCATATGCACGCCATTACATTTAATGAAGCTGTAAAGTGTTAAATAATAAATCAATTGTATTCTATCCTAAAAATTACAATATTTTTGTGGAAAATACATAAAAATGAAATGAAATAATAACACCTAATGGAAAATTGTTGCCACCCATGTTTAATTATTATTATTATTATTATTCTTATGAACAAAGGATGAAGAGGAGGTGAAATATACTTTTAAAATTTCTTAGATGTAAAAAAAAAAAAAAAAGAAAAAAAAGAAAACATACTTTCAACTTTATTACTCTTAAAGTTCTTCTCATTATTTCGTACTAAACTGAGATTCATCATATATTTCATTTGATTAAAGTATTTTTTAACTTGGTAAAATGAATTTATTTATTTTATGTAAAAATGCACGTTTTGTAATAAATATTTTATAAGAATGAATGTATTACACATTGTACTAACTTATTTCTAATTCCGTAGCACATTGCAATCAAACATCCTTCAGTTGAATTTATTGAATTGGTGCAATTACATGATTGTTTTGAAGTAATTTGAGGTTGTAATACATTTGAGCAAGTCTTAGATTTAATCATATTCCAAGTGTAGAAATCAAAATTTAATTTTGTTTTCAACAATACTGGACTCTTATGGCATTGGTGGTTAATGCATTTCTCAATTTTTGTTGTGATTTTAGGTATGCTTTTTAGAAGTGTAACTACAAGATATAAAAAAATATAAAAAATGGTTTCTTATGTTTTAAAGGCATTAGTTTGAAATAACCTGTTTGTTTTTAAAAAAAAAATTAAGCAAAATCATAGTAATGTAGCGGTGTTTTACAGTTCTCCAAAATTCATAAACTTCGTGTTTTTTGCGCTGTGTGATAAAAGTATTGATTAGAATTTTAAACTGAATAAACTGTGATGAAAAAACTTCAAATTAAAGACTTATTATTATAAATGTTTGGTATTTTTTTTTTATTGTTTTCAAAGAATTTCAAATATACTTATATAAAACTAAAATATCTAGTTCTTTTAATTATTGAATTATTTCTTTGTTATATTATTCATTTAAAAATCTTATAAATTACTTTTAAAAAGAAATCATAAAAATTTAAATGCTGGAAAAATTTACAAATGCAATAGATACATATGTATAAACCCAAAACTCAACAGAGGGTTAATAAAAAAAATTCAATGGTTTTTATTTTATTTTTATTTATTGCATACTAATTATTTAAAATTTCATCCTTGTTTTATAATCTTTTAAATTTAATTTTTTAATCCTAGCCTTAGATTGTAACTTTTATCTTAATACAAAAATATATTATTATTATTATTTAGATTTTATTTTAATTAATTATCTTTTTATTATTCACTTGAATAAAGTTGTGTTGATTTATAAAAGTTTAAGATTAGATAAATGGCTTTTTAAGGCGTTTGAATAAGTAATCACTATGCTTTGGAATACTCCCTTTTTTTTCCTTTATTTTTTTTATTTATTTTTTATTTTCTAAATGTTGTCGTAAACTCTTATTTAATAACTAGTTGTTACAAAAAATTGCATGAGAAAAAAAACTCTTTTTAAGTATTGACATTATGCAGAATTAAAGAAAAAGAAAAAAAATAAAAATAAAAATACACACACACACACACACATACATATATATATATATATATATATATGTGTGTGTGTGTGTGTGTGTGTGTGTTTTCAAGACCAAGAGTAAATAAAAATAATTAAAATTCAGTAAAATAGATGTAAGCCAAATATAACTATTGTCCTAGCATTGTAATTTTGAATTACGTAACATTTTTCAATTATTATTTACATATGTAGATATAAATATTTACATAAATACCCCTGAATTGTACAAAAAATGTCTCATTCTTCCCATCAATCTTGCAACCATAAAACTATTTTGAAATAAAAATAATAAAAAAAAAGAATGTCCATATCTGTTTCTTTAATAGTATCATAAGTATAGAAAAAATATTGTGGGCATAAAAATATTTTTTTCTTCTGAAATAAAGCTACAAATCTTGATTCTTTTCTAACAATTTTCATGGGGATGTTGATATCTATGTATTTTTATTTTATTTTTTTAATTAACTGCAATAATGCTTACAAGATTCATGTGTCTAAATAAACTCTTAGAACTTCTTTTGTGAATGCTGATACTTTTTGGTATAAATTTTAGATTTTGTTATTGACATCTTTGGAAGACACATTTGCATGTCTTTCAATTGTAAAATTTCAAACAAGCAAAAAATTACTTCAAAGATTTTCAACTTTTCTTATGTTATATTTTTTTCCTTGTATATATGGTATCTTTCATTAATTGGCTTCTTTTTAGGATTCAATGGAAACAAAACTTGAAATAATAGTAATGATACAATTTAAAATAAAAGTAGTAGCTTCAAGGTATAAATTTCACCTCTAATTTTTATTTATCTTGAAGACCAAGTCAAGAAAACATGATAAAAATAAAATCTGATTTTAAAAATGCAGTTTTTTAGAATTATAAAGACCAAAGCATTTTATCAAGTGCGAAATATAAAATATAAAATAAACCATTAATAAAAAAATATAGTTTCACAGATTAGGATCAATAAAAAGTTTTAAGTATTTTTACAATTTTTTTTCAGAAAATTCGAAGTGTACCTACACGTTTTGTATTAATTAAGCTCTAAGATTTTAGTCTCATAAGACCTTTTATGAAAAGCTCTAGGAAAACACTAAAGATTCTAAACATTTACAAATCTTTTATAATTTTTGTAGTATGTGTAGAAGCTCCTGAAAAATGTTTCGAGAAAATTTGATTAATATAAAATGTTACATAATATATATTTTTATTTCAAGTGAAAATTTTGGTAAGTGCAAAAAATAGCTCAATATAGACAACATTTATTTTTACATTGAATCTAAAAATAATCATGTTTTTGCTAGTTTTATTATTATTCTGTTAAATCTTAAATAATTAAGAATTAATAAAAAGATATTATATTTCTATTTTCTTTTAATTTGATCACTAAAATGATAAAAATATATATTTTTAATTCTAATTCTAATTCTATGGTTTTTAGTCCTTCTTAAAGACTTAGGCTTGCCATGATTAATATTTCTTATTACTGAAATAGATGGTAAGGTACTTTATGACATAATCTTTCTATCATAGATACTCTATGGTGCTGATATTATCACTATCATCTACAATGATTTTAAAGATCAAATTATTTACATATTTGGCTTTGAATTTTTCTAATTTTAATTCTTCTTTAAATTTTATGAAATCTTCAAAATCTCCACCATTTAAAATTAGATTGTCTTATTTTTTTGAGCTATTTTATTTATACACTAAAAACATACCAAGTGGATAAGCTCATAACAAAAGATGATAACTTTTATTTGTATTAGATCCTCTTAAACATCACATGGGTTTCCAAAGTTGTCAAACTCAATCTTTCTTGACTGTAGCTTGAGGCAAAATAAGAATATACAGTTTTATTATTTAAAAAGACTTTATTCATTTTTATCTTAATATATTCTATCTTTTTATTTATTTTTGAAGTTTATTCTCTTGAATGCTTCTACAATTGTTGAATGCATCTTAGAAACATTCAAAAGTTTATCAAAAGCGTGCATTAAATAAATATATATATATATATATATATATATATATATTCTACAAAAGCCAAAAGAATAATTCTAATTTATTTATTTTTAATTTCTAAACCTTTATCATAGAAATTATAATTATAATCAAAGAAATATATTATAATTATATAAATAATTTATAAATTTAAATGGCATTTCTAATATTAATAGTTAGCATTTTTATTTTTTCCAAAGTTCAACTATCTTATATCATATGAAGATGGTTCAAAGGCTATTGATACCAAATTTTTTATGATTTATAATCATTGGATTAGAATTTATTTATTTATTATTATTTTATAAAAAATAATAAAAAATTAATAATAATTAAGTTAAAATTTTAATTTTAAAAAGTTTCTTGTTAGTTTGTATAGTATGTTTTA